CAAGTCCTTGCCCAAGGCAGGGTTCAGGATGGTGATAACTGTGGAACATGCCTGTGTAATGGGTGACGGCAGGGCCTGCTTGTAGTGTACTGTGGAAGCCGATGTGACAGGGTGACAACACAGTTTATAGAACAGATAGTATCTATGCAGTGCCAAACTTGCCTCTTTCCCTCTACCACTAGCTCTTACAGTATCAGGCGCATGCCCAGGAACACATCCCTGCTCAGCTGTTCTGCTAGTCAAGTAGAGATGAAGGGGCTGCACACTGATGTCATCACCAATGAAATACTCCCCTGTCCATAACCCACCCAACACGTTTTACCCCACAAAGAGCTTAATCATGGTGAGGGTGACAATACAGTATTTGGGAAGTAGGGACAGAGCACTGTTACCCTATAACAGGAAGTACCTAAATAAGGGCCTGCATAGGATAACTAGGTAATATTTTGATAAAAGCTGCAGATTTAAAATGGCTCAGGACGGCTTTTGATAAGCTATTCAAATAAACCCAAGTTTAGTCACCCCAAGTTTAGTCAAAATGTTTAAAAAAAAAAAAAAAAAAAGCACAAGGGACATTGCTAAATGTGTCCCTTGGTGGTTTCATTGAAATATTCTGTCCTCTGATACCCTAACTCCCAACCACCATAATCTTTCCATGTTGAGGGGTTAATAGAGCTTAGGGACCTGTCATAAGCACCTATCAAGAGTTCCGACCATGCCCACTCTTTTCATCCCCTCTCCACCATTCGCAGAAACTGTAATATAGCTTCCATGAATGAAATGCAATCTGTGAATGGAGGAGGTGGACCTTCTATTCATCCACCCATCCTCTAGTCATAGAGCACTTTTTAGTCACGGAAGCTATAGTACAGCTTCTATGAATGGAGGAAGGGTGAGGACAGGACTGGTATAGTCAGCAAGCTTGATGAGTGCAAATGTTAGGTTCCTCATCTCTACACTGGAAGATTATGGCGGCAGGTATGGGGTGGGGGGGGGGGGGGAATCAAAGGAAGGAACATCTCAACTAAAGCACCAGCCAGCAACACAAGGGATAGTTCTCATTGACAGTAAGTAATGTCCCTTCTGCAGATTTTTTTTTTATTTTAAATCCTTGAACAAAAGTAGAAATTAAAGACATGAGATTGTAGTGGCTGGCTGTATACTAGCTGCAACAGTCTGCTAAAATGACAACTGACATACTGCCATGGACAGGAAAATGACACGCTGAGTTGTGTGACCCAACTCAAGGGTCGTCCAAAAGCTGTTTCCATTGCTCAGTATGTCTCCAACTTGCAACACTGGAAGATAAATCTGAAATGTAAAAATAAACCTAAAATGTAAAACTCTTAAATGACGTTCTGGAGAAGCGGAACGGGGCTTGACCTTCCACTGACTGCTGTCCAAAGCACCAGCTGGAAGACATCCTTGTGACATGCACTAAGGAGGACCTCTTCATGGTTCCTCCTTCTATATTGGAGGCATCCTTGTGACATCCAATAAGGAGGACCTCTTCATGGTTCCTCCTTCTATAGCGGAGGCATCCTTGTGACATCCATTAAGGAGGACCTCTTCATGGTTCCTCCTTCTATAGCGGAGGCATCCTTGTGACATCCATTAAGGAGGACCTCTTCATGGTTCCTCCTATAGCGGAGGCATCTTGTCCTTCCATTGAGGACCTCTTCATGGTTCCACTTCCTATAATGGAGATGTTATTGTGAAATCCATTGAGGAGGACCTCTTCATGGTTCCTCCTTCTATAGCGGAGGCATCCTTGTCACTTCCATTGAGGACCTCTTCATGGTTCCTCTTCCTATAATGGAGATGTTATTGTGACATCCATTGAGGAGGACCTCTTCATGGTTCCTCCTTCTATAGTGCTTCGTCCACATTGCTGAACTGTCAAATTAAGGTAGACCAATCTTTATTTGTAACAAAATGAGAATGAACTCCAACATTTCACTGCAGAGTCAGGGTTAACTTCTTTTTCTCCTTAATTTCCCCAAAACAAATGCCTTGGGAGAAGAACGTAATTGGAACACGACCTTATACCCAAAATAACTAATCTGTCTGCTTCATGCAGCATACAAAAAATGTAAGATTCCACCAAGCGAGCGGGGTCTGTCTGTGCCCATATATGGATATGATGTGAGAGACACGGCTCCCAACTCCATCTCATACACTCGCTTTCTAGCAAATCGCTTCGCGGCCTTTCAGCGTCACCGGCTGTGGTAATCGCAAGCTTGCCCGATTAACCTTCTCGAGAGCTGGGCCTGTCTCAGCTGAATTCTGCCTACGAAGGCGGTCGCTCTTACATTTTTAGAAAACTCATTTCAGATTTTCTAGCAAAGAGGGAAAAGTTAACACTTTATGCGGAATCCAAACTTCTAAAGATCAAACTACTTGACGCCAAAAAATCCACTTTCAATGAAAATGCCAAAATAGAAAAGCCGCAGTTACCAAGATTCCTGTTAAAAAGTTTCAAAACTTTTCTACCCGCACTAGGTCTGCAGAACTCCTGATCTGAGTGCTTATTTCAAGTCAGGGGTGTAGATTATAACTGAAGCCAAATGATCAGTATGAAAGGCCAGGAAACAAGCATTTCTGAAGAATATCAACAATGGAAACCCTTTCCTTTCTATCATGGAGGGTCCTTTAGATCTGTGTGTGCAAGAAGTGATCATACTTTTAAGCTTCATGCAGGGGCCATACAGCATGCCTGTGTGATGACATTCCCGGGACCCACCACCGCGTACAGCCGCCACATGGTTGTGTACTGGGGGTTGCGTAAAGCACCGGCATGCACACGAACATTTGCCCTGAACACAGATAGTGTGCATTTAGGGCATATACAAGTGCTGCAGTGCCGATACTTCAGCTGCCCCCCCAACTCTAAACCCGAGAACTGAGCAGTCACATGACCTCTGATCGATCAGCTCTCCCCTCCACTCTGAGCAGAGAGCGGTGACTGTCAGTCGCTGGTTCTCTGCTCTGCCCTTCCGGCACTCACTGGAGCACTAGGCTGTGGAGGAGGCGGGAGCTGCTGGCGCAGGCTCTCAATGGCTCGCTGATAGGCTGAACCAGCTGCTGGTCAGGGATCTGGGTGGATCCTGACAATATAGTCAGGATCCTCCCAGAGCCTGGAGTGGGTCTGTGACGTCAGCAGATAGCAGACTTTAGCCCACTGTTGACTAATTCTGGGTCACAGAAGGGCACAAGTAAAGTCTAGTACACATGATTAGAAAATCGGGCGCACAATTATTCACTTTTTTTTCCATGTCTTTGTCCCATGTTGTAAACGAGAATGCCTAATATGGTATGAAAATTCTGGACTGAGCGAGGACAACGTCCTATGTACCCAGCTATGGTCTGTCTAGTTTATGAGCAAAGTGTGTTTCCGAAGCGGGGACTTCTTCATTCAACGTCTGCTTTTGATCGCAGTGGAAGTGGGAACAGGAACCTGTCAAATTGGGGTCCCTTCTCCGTCCCTGCTCCCCAAAGGTGCCAAGCACTTCCGCGAGGTAGTACTAGGGTTGTTGGTTCAAATTCCAACCACAGCATCTCCTGCCTGGAGTTTGCATGTTCTCCCTGTACGGGTTTCCTCCAAAGACATGCTGGAAGGTGAATTGGCTCCTGTCTAAATTGACCCTAGTACGTGTATGTATGAATGTGAGTTAGGGACCTTAGATTTTCTCTCTCTCGACGTGAGTGTTCCCATGCAGACTTTATTTGCATACGGAACACCCTGGGTAATGCTCACATATGATGAAGAGTCTTCAGGATTGAAAGGGGCGGACCAGGGACAGTCAGGATGAGGAGGAAAGTGCTAGATGATAACCCCTTGAGGGTTAAGGACTGATGTGAATGCAAGGAGGATAAAAATTGATGATTTAAAAAAAAATTATTAAAAAAAAAAAAAAAAAGTTAAAACATCGTGTTTTTTAAATTTAATTTGGGTTTTTCTTTTATTTAAATAAGATTTTTTTGATTATCAAAATTTATTTTGATAAAATGCTTTAGGAGTAAAAAAAATCTAAATACAGTTTTCTATTTAAGATACATTAATGATTTAGTTTATTCAGCAGGAAATGGAGCTTAGTTATGTATCATGAGGCTGTATATTCTGCAATATTTACATTTTTGGTAAACTCATTCGATGAATCCGAGCTCTGCAAGCTGGGGTGACATGCAGTGCATTGATACATTCACACAACTTCACAGTAACCATGAGAAAAAACATGAAATAAAAATTTGAGTCGTTCTCCAGCTATGTGTGACTAAACTAAAATCGGTTCTGAGATCGAGGTTTTACTAACCTGACAGCTTATTATTCTAGAAAGAAAACCTTAATTTGGATTGTAAATATTAAAGATTCTAACTACCAGCAAGAATGAGTCGGATTCCTTACATTTAAAGAGCACCTGTCATTTCAGATCCATTATGGCAGCGCCTGTTAGCGGCCATCCAGTCACCTGCAGCCGTCACGTCCCTCGCCTTGTTGTGTCCCTGCCGCATCACCAGCCGTCCCATTAAAATGAATGGGACTGTCGGGGAGTCAACAGCGGGTCAGAGGAGGAGCTGCTGCGGGACAGAGATGACAGTTGGTCTTTAATCACAAGCCTTCCGGGCACTTATACCCCCTTCCTGCCCAGGCCAATTTCCAGCTTTCAGCGCTGTCGCACTTTGAATGACAATTGCAACACTGTACCCATATGAATTTTTTATCATTTTCTTGTGACAGATAGCGCTTTCTTTTGGTGGTATTTAATCACCTCTGGGTTTTTTATTTTTTTCTTAAACCAAAAACCACTGAAAATTTTGAAAGAAAAATGTTTTTTTCTTAGTTTTTGTTATAAAAATTTTGTAAATAAGTGATTTTTCTCCTTCACTGATGTGCGTTAATGAGGCTGCAGTGATGGGCACTGATAGGCTGCACTGATAAGCACTGATAGGTGGCAATGATGAGGAGGCACTGGTAGGTGGCACTGATGGGCATTGACAGGCATCACTGATGGGCACTGAAAGGCAGCAGTGATACATGGCACTGATAGGCAGCTTTGATAGGCGGCACTGACACTGAAAGACAGCTCAGATGGGCACTGATATGTGGCATTGATGTGCACTGGTAGGCACTGATATGTGGCATTGATGTGGCACTGACACGTGGGCACTGATGGACACTGACAGGTGGCACTGCTGGGGCTACACTGATCATCAGGGCACACTGATCATCAGTGCCCTGATGATCAGTGTAGATGTCCCCTCCGCAGAAAGCCGATTACCGGCTCTCCTCTCCTCTGTCAGCATGACAGCTCGAGAGGAGAGAAATGCCGATAACCGGCATTTCCCCCGTTTACATGTGATCAGCTGTGATTGGACACAGCTGATCACATGACCGACCGAGCCGACATCTTCGGCTCTTTCCGTGATCGGTGATCCGCTCTGTCCGAGGGACACAGCACACCGCTGATCGCCGAGCGCTCCCTGAGCCGCGCATGCGCGGTGAGAATGGGGAGGATGTCATATGACGTCCTCCCAGAACGAGAGAACCGCCTTGCGTCCGTCATATTACTATGTGGCGGGCGGGAGGTGGTTAAAAATGATGATTCAAAGTGAGCCTTTTCACTAGTGATTAAAATCAAATGCACCGTGTGTGAATGTACAATATATGTGAAAGCTCTGCGTAAATTGACAGTGTTATACAAGTACCTGTAATAAATACATTATTAACGGGGATCGGGGGGCCAGTAGAACTTCTGCTTTTGGGTGGAGCTCCACTTTAAGTGCACTCCTATGACCCACAAGGGAAGTATGACCAGCAAAGCTTTGGCTATACTTTTTCATGTCAGCAATAGACTGCAGCCATCATATATCATTTTTGATTTTGCCACTTTAGGCAGGCACACTCCAAGGGCCGGAATCAGTCATTCGTCAGCCTCGGTGAAAGGACAACATCTTATCTGCTTGCCCTTTAAATGGTGGTAATGGAGCCTCGGCTGTGTTGGTACACAGAGGATGAATGGCAGAGAATACGGGTCGGATCAATGACATGCAGGTATGAAACAGGACAAACCTGTGGGGAGAGATGTCAGCACCAGGTCTAACGTGCAAAACAAAACGGCTCTGTGTGTTTACACTCCCAGCTATGCGCAGAGCATGCAGGCGGGAGCCCTGTATTCATATCCCCGACCCCCCCCCCAGCACAAGACATTCCCACATCCAGAGCACAATGACACATTCATAGCACCGTAATCTTCTGGCTGCGTTTGTTCATGGTACAAGCTGCCGCCTGCTACACCTGAGCAGCGATATGGACATGGCTCAGTATCTACAACACAGTACAGGACAGGGCCGTGTTACTCAGTCTTGCACAGTTGTACCGTCCTGTCCTGAACTGAAATGGATTACTCTGATTACACTGCACACTGTGAGCGTCTCACAATGTGCATTAGAAGCTGCAAATCAGACCTAATCTCTTTTTGCTGCTGGAGGACATCCGGTATCATCAAGAGAGAGGAGGGGAGGGAAAGAAAGAGGAGGGGAGGGAAAGAAAGAGGAGGGGAGGGAAAGAAAGAGGAGGGGAGGGAAAGAAAGAGGAGGGGAGGGAAAGAAAGAGGAGGGGGAGAGAGAGAGGGGGAGGAGAGAGAGGGGGGGAGAGAGAGAGGGGGGAGAGGGGGGAGAGAGAGAGGGGGGAGAGAGGGGGGGGAGAGAGGGGGGGGGAGAGGGGGAGAGAGAGGGGGAGTAGGGGAGAGATAGAGGAGGGGGGAGAGAGAGAGGTAGAGGAGGGGGGAGAGAGAGAGGTAGAGGAGGGGGGAGAGATAGAGGGGGGGGGAGAGAGACAGAGGAGGGGGGGGAGGGAGGGAGAGAGACAGAGGAGGGGGGAGGGAGAGAGAGAGACAGAGGAGGGGGGAGGGAGAGAGAGAGACAGAGGAGGGGGGAGGGAGAGAAAGAGACAGAGGAGGGGGGAGGGAGAGAGAGAGACAGAGGAGGGGGGAGGGAGAGAGAGACAGAGGAGGGGGGGAGGGAGAGAGAGATATCGGAGGGGGGAGGGAGAGAGAGATATCGGAGGGGGGAGGGAGAGAGAGATATCGGAGGGGGGAGGGATAGAGAGATAGAGGAGGGGAGGGGGGAGAGATAGAGGAGGGGGGAGGGAGAGAGAGATAGAGGAGGGGAGGGGGGAGAGATATAGGAGGGGGAGAGAGAGCGAGATAAGAGGAGGGGGGGAGGGAGGAGGGGGGAGAGAGATAGAGGAGGGGGGAGAGAGATAGAGGAGGGGGAGGGGGAGAGAGAGGAGGGGGGGGGGAGAGAGAGAGGGGGGGAGAGACAGAGGGGGGGAGAGACAGAGGGGGGGGAGGGAGAGAGGGGGGGAGGGAGAGAGGGGGGGAGGGAGAGAGGGGGGGAGATAGAGGGGGGGGAGATAGAGGAGGGGGAGATAGAGGAGGGGGAGATAGAGGAGGGGGAGATAGAGGAGGGGGGGAGATAGAGAAAGGGGAGGGAGGGATAGAGGAGGGGAGAGAGAGAGCGAGATAGAGGAGGGGGGGAGGGAGGAGGGGGGAGAGAGATAGAGGAGGGGGGGAGGGAGAGAGATGGGGGAGGGGGAGGGGGAGGGGGAGAGAGATGGGGGAGGGGGAGAGGGAGAGAGATGGGGGAGGGGGAGAGAGATAGACGAGGGGGAGGGAGAGAGGGGGGGAGATAGAGAAAGGGGAGGGAGGGATAGAGGAGGGGAGGGAGGGAGAGATAGAGGAGGGGGAGGGAGGGAGAGATAGAGGAGGGGGAGGGAGGGAGATGGAGGGGGAGGGAAGAAGAGAGAGGGATAGAGGAGGGGGGAGGAAGAGAGAGGGATAGAGGGGGGGGAGGAAGAGAGAGGGATAGAGGAGGGGGGAGGGGGAGAGGGAGGGAGGGAGAGAGGGGGAGGGGGAGAGAGAGGAGGGGGAGGGGGAGGGAGAGAGAGGAGGGGGAGGGGAGAGAGAGGAGGGGGAGGGGAGAGAGAGGAGGGGGAGTGGAGAGAGAGGAGGGGGGAGGAGGGGGGGGGAGAGAGAGGAGGGGGGAGGGAGGGGGGGGAGAGGGGAGAGGAGGGGGGAGGAGGGGGGGGGGGAGAGAGAGGAGGGGGGGAGGGGAGAGAGAGGAGGGGAGAGGGGAGAGAGGAGAGAGGAGGGGGGAGTGGGGGGGATGGGGGGGGGGGGGGGGGGGGGGGGGGGGGGAGGGGGGGGGGGATGGGGGGGGGGAGAGATGGGGGGGGGGCGTCCTTGCCTTCAGTCCACCATTGTCTGGAATTGCTCACTTACATGTTCAGATTTTCATTTCCCTCCCAAATCCAACCTCAGATGCTTTACACAGCAATCTGCTGATCAGTTACATTTTCTCCTCCTGCGTTCCAGTG